TGTTGACCAGGATGGTCTCGATCTCTTGACCTCGTGATCCACCCGCCTCGGCCTCCCAAAGTGCTGGGATTACAGGCTTGAGCCACCGCGCCCGGCTCAATTTCAATTTTTACTAGACTTTCTGAAATTATAAAATGTACAAACATTTCACATTACATTATACATGCATTCCTAAAAACTGTGCCTTCTTCAAAATTGCACACTTAAAAAAGTCTTTTGGAAAAATTTGCACTGAAAACAGATACCTGAAATCAAGGTGGTTTTACAACAAGAGCTCTTACAATAGTAATCATGATTCTCAAGAGATAATCTGAGCCACCAAGGCAAGTAGCTGTCAAGGTGGTTATTAAAAGGTCAAACAAGTAAAATGTTGTGGTAAATACCAGCGGTGCTAAAAATAGAGCTGGGCAAGTGGGTGATGAGGCAATGAAGACAACAGCGAAGCTCTGAGCCTGAGGGGCTGCTGTGAAGATGGGTACAAGAGACTGAGCAACCGCCCATGAGCTAGAAGCCAGAGACTAGCCTCTGAGGAGCAAGTCCTAGGCAAAGTGTTCATTTTCTTACATTATAGGGTGAAAGGGCTAACGCAACAGAAAAACTGAGGGTTATATCGATTCTTGTGGGAGACAATCAAGCACTACTTCAGCTATGACAGCTCTTCTTGCCTAGGGAAAAACCCACGAGTGAACACAACTTCTGCACTCTTCTATGTACCACACTCTATTTACCAGTCATATGTGTACCAATGTGCATTAGAGAATACACTATGCTTCACCAACTTCAAATGACATTAAATGCCCCGCTAGTAAACCAAACATCTTTATTAAAATACCATATATTGAAGAAACATTTTTGAATTGGGAAATAAATATAAATTCTAAATTTAACTGCCCAAGTCATAGCATTATTCTCCAACAATTTGAAAAAACATGCATAAAGTTATTTATCACACCACTTATAACAGCAAAGTATAAGAAACAACCTAAACTCCCACAAACAGATTATGAAGATTAGTTACTCCACATGGAGGAGGAGTATGAAACTATAAAAAAAAGGATGAAAAATTCTGTGAACTGATAGATTCCTAGAATATACCGTTAAGGCAATACAGTAGGTGCAGAAGAATGCATTTACATATCTTGTGCCTCTTGCCATGACAGACTGAAGACACAGCATCAACTATTCAGCATTCCTGCCTAAATGTTTAGCCTGAGTCAGGGAGGAAATAATCAAACAAACCCAAATTACGGGAAATCTTGTGAAAATAACAGGCCTGAACCTTTCCAAAGTACCAGTGCTCTGAGGAAACTTTCCAGGATTAAAAGAAATAATCATGAAATGCAATGAGTAGGGCTTGATTAAATCTTAAATTAAAAAAAAAAAAGTCATGAGGAAGGACAATTATTGGGACAACTGGGTAAGTGTAAGTAAGGACTCAAAACTAAGTAACAGGGCTATATATCAACATTATCACATTCAGCTTGTTGAATGTGATAACTGTATTATGGTTATGTAAGAGAATATCTCTAGTTCTTGGATGATACAGGATGAAGCATTAAGGCATAAAGTGTCACAAGTCTTAAATGCTTCAGAAAAAAACATACAGGAATGTGTGTGTGCACACATACATTAAAAAAAGCTAAAGCAAGTATAGTAATATAAGGAATCTAGTTAAAGAATACATGGGTGTTTACTGTATACTCCTTCCAACCTTTCTTTCCAAAATAAAAAAATAAAGTCTTATGCTGTAAATTTAAGAGAAAAAAAGTACTACTTTAAATGAATAATGAAACTTGTAAATCACATTGGACTAGAAACAAAGAGGAAACTGAATTAGAAATCATAATCTGAACGTGTGGCAGTCTGACAAACTTGCCCAAACAAGTTAACACAAAGGCTTGAGGGTTTTTTGTTTTTCTTTTTTTTTTTTTTTTTTTTTTTTTTTTTTTTTTTTTTTTTTTTTTTTTTTTTTTTTTTTTTTTTTTTTTTTTTTTTTTTTTTTTTTTTTTTTTTTTTTTTTTTTTTTTTTTTTTTTTTTCTTTTGAGACAGTCTCACTCTGTCATCCAGGCTGGAGTGCAGTAGCACGCTCTCAGCTCACTGCAACCTCCGCCTCCTGGGTTCAAGTGATTCTCTGCCTCAGCCTCCTGAGTAGCTGGGATTATAGGTACCTGCCACCACGCCGTAGGTAATATATCCTACCAGCCTGTATTTTTCTTTGGCTTTTTAAAAATACAAAAAATTAGCCAGGCGTGGCAGCATACATCTGTAATCCCAGCTACTCAGGAGGCTGAGGCAGGAGAATCACTTGTACCCAGGAGGCAGAGGTTGTGGTGAGCTGAGATCAGCTCTAAACTCCAGCTGGGTGGATCACTTGAGGTCAGGCGTTGGAGACCAGACAGGCCAACATAGTGAAACATCATCATCTCTACTAAAAAATACAAACATTAGCCAGGCATAGTGGCACACACTTGCAATCCCAGCTACTTTGGAGGCAGAGGCAGGAGAATCACTGGAACCCAGGAGGCAGAGGTTGCAGTGAGCCAAGATCGCACTGCACTTCAGCCTGGGTGACAGAGTCGGACTGTCTCAAAACGGGGAGAAAAAAAAAAAACAGTGACAGGGTAAACAGATCTGAACGAACCATCTAGAGAACAGCACTGAGTGACAGAGAGCTAAGAAATAAATTTGAGCAAATATATTTTAAATAGTTTCCTTCTCCACATAAAGGCATGCTTCCCTGACTATAAATTTACTTGTTCAAAGTAGGTTTCTGTAAATTATTTTCCCATTACTTTCCATTACAAAACAAGATTAAGAGTACATAACAGAAAAGGCAAATTCTACAACAGGCAAGTAGAAACATTTGGCCAAAATAAAAAAATTTTAAGCAGATATTTAAGTTGGTGGCTGGGTTATTTAAGTCTGTGACTAAGTGCTCCAGGCAGGCATGAGATGGCAAGGACTGCTTCTGTGGCACTACTAGCATTTTAAAGCAGTGCCTCTAATCATGAGCAAACATTTACCTTTCCCAGGATTCGTTTTCATTTACATAACAATCACATGTCCTCTAAATTATTTCTACTATCTACTTCTACTTTTAAGGACTCAACACTGAAAACTCACTAAGTTTTCAAACTTTCTAATTAAATAAGAAAAAGCATACTCTACCCAATTCCGTTTTTCAAAAATTACAAATGTTAAAGCAAAGAAAAGCTAGAACTATTGTTTTCTTTTAAAAACCAATTTGTTATTCGTTCCTGTTTAACACAATTTTGTAAATACTATGTTTTTAGAGCATAAAAGGCTTCAGCAGTACTTGAAATACCCATTTGTTACTACATCATCTTACACCTAATAAAGTTATCTTCAAACTGCTAATTAAGTTGTAAAAATACATTGTTTACTTAGGTTTCTCACATTACATGTACCTGCCAAAGACTTCATTTACTCTTTAATTTCAATGCAGTCATATTCAAGTAAAATATTTCTCATTATTTATTACCTCTCCGGGGTGTTTCTTCACCATGTGAAAGTCCACTTGGAATAGTATCCTGATCTGCTCCCATTCTCTGATCTTGCTGCTGCTGCAACTGTCTTATCATTCCATCAAGAATACTCGATTCTGGGCTGCGTTCATCATTATCATTGGTTTGCAGACTTATAATTTGTTCAATTACCTCTCCATCACCTACAAATTCAGTTAATGAATATATCATCATATAAAAGCAGAAAACAAAAACAATTCATTATGATACAAATTAAAATACATTAACAATGGTCAGAATTCCCATTTTTGAAAAATAACCAGTTTAAAAAGATACTCTACACATTCGCCAACAGGTCAGAGAAAAAAGATTCAAAACCAACAAAAGTCTTCCTGTAGAGGACTAAATACTATAAAAACTTAAAAGCAGCCTCTGAAATTCCTGCAAGTGAAAACATAAAAACATATTTCTGTAAAACTTTATTATGCTGTTTCACACTAATACCCCTCACTATACTCGATATATTTCACTAAAATCTTATTACTGAGTCTCTAACTGGAACAGAGCAACTATGGGTGACTTCCATTGTAGAGAAAAATCACTGACATTTAATTTCTTCTCTACTGTCTTAAGAGAGGAAAAAAAGGGAAGTAAGGGTAAGACCTTTTTAAGCCTTCGACAACTTTAGCTCTCCTCCTGCCCCAAGAGTCCTCAGAGAACAGTGCAACTGATGGTGGTAATTACACAAGCCTCTCCCACTAATCTCAAATTACTCTTAGATATGTTTTTAGCATAGCCAGTACCCATAATTCTTATTTCAAGTAATTTATTTTTATTTTTAAAATAAAATATTTAATTTTAAGTATCTTTGCTTCTTTATTTTTCAAATAATGAATTTTCAGAGATATTTAACAGGTTCATCCACTAGTGTTGCTGGAAAAAAAGGTTGTGGAATCTGGAACTATATCTAAATATTAACATTTTCATGCAAATAACTCCTAAGTCCTCTCACCATAAGACACTTATATAAACAAACTCAATATATAAGAGAGAACTCCAGCCTGACCAACATGGAGAAACCCTGTCTCTACTAAAAATACAAAACTAGCCAGGCATGGTGGTACACGCCTGGAATCCCAGCTACTTGGGAGGCTGAGGCAG